GCGGTGAAAATTCGAATGTGCAGCAACGAACGGAGCGAGAGTTTTATTGGCCCGAGAGGAGGACAGAACAAGCGAATGCGAACAGAGGATGAGCTGAAGAGGGGAGAAGGCGGGAGGATGTAATCGAATATCCTAGAATTTAATTCTATCGGTTCGTCCCGCGCGCGTTCGACTTTCATATCGCGCTTTTTTGCGACAGTAATTAAATCTAATTTATCGCGACGCCCGTGTCGCGTTTCAGGGATACCTACCGTTCGACACGAGGGACTAGGGACGGCGGCGCCGCGCCGTGTTTTCGCGATTCCAATCGAAAGACCCGTTGTCCATCGGTCCGGCGTTCTTTTCGGGAACGCGATTCCCGGCCAATTTTAATTGACGCCCGATAACTTTTCTTTAAACGCATCGTGAAAGATAAAAAATTGAAATGACGGCGATGATCTATCGATGATCTAGCGAAACGAGAAAGCAAAGCAACGGCACGGCGAGCGTATCCGAGGGGTTGGAGAAGGGATGGAGGCAGAATAGGTGGTTGGCGGTGCGAGGCAGATAACGACGAGAGGTTATAAATCTCCTTCCGGTTGGAATCGGGAGCGAAGCAATCTGCGGAATGGTCCGGTCATCCGTCCATCAAGTCACGCGCACCGCGACGTACAGTCTACGTATTAATATATCTGCGGGTCAGAGCGGAGATTCGCGCGCGAGGCAAGGCGAGACGAGATGAGTCGAGTCGAGTCGAGCCGAGTCGAGTGAAGAGCCGGGCCGCGTCGCGTCGCGCCACGGTGAACGCCGCCGTTGCGAAAGCGCGTTGCGGATGCATCGTGCATCGTGTATCGCGTATCGTGTATCGCGTATCGCGTATGCCGTAGGATGTATGCAGGCTGGACCGAGAGTATATCGTAGGGTAGGGTAGGGCAGGGTGTTCGATGTACGGTGTTACGGTGTGCGATGCGTGGCGTGGTCTCCCTGCTCGTTCGCTCTCGCCCGCTCAGTATTTATGCGAGTTTCGATGGGAAAAGGCAGCGCGCAACTCGGACGCGACGCAAGATAATTTCTGATTTACCGCGCGGCTTCGTCGGACCTGTCGTGCGCCGTACATCCCGCGCGGAGATCCATCCAACGTCGCATTTTCAAAATGAAACTCTCTCATCTCAAACTCTCTCATCTTTCTTTTACTCTTTCGACCTAAACGAATCGCGATACTCTACGGTCTCTATCCCTTCCACTATCCATCGAGCTGTATTCTCGCTGAAAAATCTCGCTAGATTTCCAAGTGGAGCAACCGTTAAAAAATGAATCGCGATAAGGAGGAAGGCGATTCACAATGGTGTAACGTATCGCAAAGTCGCGAAAACGACACAAGGCTTTCGATTGTCCACGCGATGCGTTCTTCCGTGCAGCACAGCGACGCTTCGGGTCGTTACATTATTACGTGCAACTCCTTGCGGGAATTTCGAGTGAAAGTTTGCGCTCGGGAATCGCGAACAAGTGTCTTTCTACCATCGTTTCGCTGAATCTTTCACGATCGTTTCGCGAACGTTGCCGCTGGACGCGCTTACATCTTTTACGAGCAACCAGCTCGCCCCGTTTGCTTTTTCTTCGATTTCGATTCAACCGTCTATGAACGTTTCCTCCAAAGGATTTCCGGCATTAGCGTGATAAAAGCGGAGCGATCTTGAGACGAAACGTTGCTCGTACAAGAGAAAATGGAATCGATTAAATTTTCTGACCGCTAGAACGGATTACTAATTGTAAGTAGATGAAGAGCGAAGACCAGAGGCTGACGCTCCGCGAAGCGAATAACCAAGTTTAGTCGTGTTACGAAACGAAACGAACTAGGCGATTATATGAAAAAGAAAAATAAACGTGGAAAAATAAAAGGAGAGTCAAAGTTAAGTACTGAGCCGCCTATGTGGCCCGGTTACCCTGGGATTATATTCCAAGTATTGCCATTATAGCAAGAATTTCCTAGGAAGGCAATTTTCGAAATATTTAAAATACATACCATTATAGACGTTAAGCCGTCCCTTATTATAAAATAGTCTCCACGAAAGGCAGTGGCTACGTAACACACCATCTCGCTTCGAGTTTGCCGATTCGCAGTCGGAATTTTGACTAGGACCCGATCGACTTTCTTCTCCTTTTCCTCCCTATTCTTCCTTCCGTCGAGAACGCACGAGGAAATTATAACCGTTGGACGCGCACCGGTACCTAGCAATTTTTTCCGGCTCCATCCTTGCTGCTCGAAAATGGCAAACACCCACGGCCGTTTCGAATCTCTCGCAAAAAACTAACTTTACCTGCCGTCGCCGGAAGCGATTCGCTCCTATGTATATCTACGTATGTCGAGGCGTTTGTAACGGAGCGTCTCGCATAGAATCGCGTGCGTACAAGTTGATCGCATCCGCATCCTGGGAAAGGATAAAAACTAAGCTTCCATTTGGAAAAGAAACGAAAACTAATGTCGCAGGTAGCTAGGATAGAACGTTACCCAGCTATTCTTTTCGAAATTACGCGAGGACGGAAAAAATAGAGGACTTAAGATCGAACCGGCGCGATAGAGGCGAAACTCTCGATCACGTTTTGACGGGTGGGGTAATCGAGTAGCGTACGAGTACAGACGGTGGATGCAACGGCGGAAGGGTTTACTTTTTTTCTCCGTGCTTCGAAGGAGGGTACGGCGTGACGCATTTTAATACATCAAACTTTTCAATTTTGCCGCGGCTCGTATCGCGACACCGACTCTGCCCGTCGCGAAATGACGCTCCTGATATATCGCTTAGGTGGCCCGTTACGCGTTCATCAACGCGGAATCGATATACGCGTGCGTACAGGCAAACAACGCGTACACGGTACACGGAGAAGTTTGTTTCGCGAACGAAGGGGGTGGACGCGCCCGCGCGAAAACACAATCAGGACCCTGTACGGCAAAAACACTAATTTAAACGGAACGAAGGAAATATGTAGTCGTATCCGTTGTGTATCAGGATGAATGGCGCTCGCCTGGTTACTACGATTCACGATTTACCGTTTTGCGACTTTTTTCCCTTCTCCGTTCACTCTCCTTCTTTTTCCCCGCGTGCTCGTCCACCAGTCGCGGCTCTCTTTCTATTCCATTCATCCTATTCCCTGACCGTCCCCGGCTGTCTCTCGACGCGACAGCAGTCGCGCGACTTCTCTCTTGAACCAGCGTGCTGCACCCGTCCACGCGACGCGATGCGAAAGGGTAAGAACGGTCCAGGGAAGTAAAGCAGTTACTGCCAAAAAAGATAATTCGAGGGAAGATTAAATTTTTTTCGCGCTACACCGCTCTTCTTGCGTTCTTCGCTTTTACGATGCATCTTCCGCTCTCTTCTTCGTTTTATCTCCTTTGCTTCGTTTCGAACCGTGCACGCGATTCGCCCGCGCACCGTTCTCGACGAATCTTCCGCGAGAGAATCGCCAAACGATCGGGATTTAAAACACAATTTATATTTAAATTCCGTTTCATTAAAGCACTTAATCCGAAGGAAATCCAGCTAGCGCGGTGGAAACGATCCTTTTGCGGCGGCTAAATCTTTAATAATCCATCCTCGAGTGGCGCGCCTCTCGCCAGGGAATATTTTTCACGACGTTGTACAGGTGGACGCGAAGAAAGCGCGTCCTTTTCCTTTTTCTTTTTATCGCGAGTAATTTCCTTCGGGTGTTAACCTTGCTCGGATTTCCGCGTACATCGACCGAAACGTTGAAACGTCGAAACGCCGAAACGCCGAAATGCCCTCCTATTAGGTTTACCTGCATCAATTAGTAGGCATTTTAATCGAAGAGGCCCCCGCGCGGCGTGTTGCCGGCACACCGCGGAATAGTTGCGATATACTAGCGTATTACGATACGAGCAGGCATGCCCGGAGAATTGGAACGTGGTTGCGTTAACATAATGGAATTCCGCGGAATGTTATACCCATTATACATGGCCGATTGCGTCACCGCACCGATATATACCCACGATAGAAAAATAATACTCGGCCTCCGAGCAATGATTCGCTTCCATTTTATACTTTGCCCGTAGCTGGTGTGTTTCCTACGTTCTACCTAGCAGCGTCTTGCGAATCGATGTCAACGCGTTTAAAGAACTAAACTAAACTCTGTCTTCTTTCGTTTCTAGCGCTTTTCCAAAGTCTCGAAAACGCTCGTAGGATCGAAGGAGATACAGAGAGAGATAAAGAGAGAAAGATGGACGGAGGAGGGGTCGCGAAACGAGAAGCGGTTACTAGCTGTTCGTTTAATAACTTGCGCCGGTGGCGGACGATAAATAATGCAGGAGACACCGTCGTCCCGATGTAATTAACGAGAACAGTCGATACCCGGTGTGTGTCACGTATGCGCGAACGAGCGCGTAGTCAATATTTGTCATTCGTTTTAACAAAAAGAACGTTACAAAACGGTCGGACGCTCCGCGTCCAAATATTGACTATGCTCATTGACGTTCATTGATACTCTCAATTAGTGCACACCGTCGAAGCCGATCGTCGGGTAATTGGACCTCTCCGGCAAAGGCATACGGAGCGAGTCTTCCCGTTCGCGGTCGTTTCGTCGCGTGAAAACACGTACCGGCGTAATTGGGAGCATCGCGGAGACCCTAACCTACGATTTCTCGCCACCTCCTTCCACGAGCTTTCCTACGACTCTCCAATTATAAACGGCCCCGGTCTAGGCCTTTTTCTCGCGACTTTGTCTAACCTGTGAGAATGTTGCCATTGCCGTTGCTTATTCAAAGTCGTTCCCCGCGAATGCGCCCTCTCCCCCGTCCCGACTACCCCGAAACTTTTTTCCTAAAACGTCGACCACAACGAATCTCGTTAACGCCGGAAACCCAATTAGCAACTTTGGAAAACGCTTCGACGTTCATCGATTTTTCTCCTTGTCTCCGTGCTCGAGTAAAAGCGATTCCTCTGGTCATCGACCAATAGCCTTTTTTTATCGTTCGATCGAAAATCAAGAAAAGAAGTGAAAAGCAAACTCACCCTTTCCTCCTCGCGAATCATCTCGGCGATGCCAGGCTTGATCTCCAGATCGTCTCCGGGGTTCGGTTGACCGGCAGCTCCTTGCTGATGATGCTGTTGCTGTTGCTGTTGCTGCTGCTGTTGTTGTTGCTGCTGCTGCTGCTGTTGTTGTTGTTGATGTTGCTGCTGTTGCTGAACGGTTAGCTGCTGGCCGTGAGCGGTCAGGTGGTTGACTGAGGCGTGGGGACCGGAAGTCACGTGGCCGGGCACGTGGTGAGCGGATACCGAGTGCGAACTCTGCTGCTGTCCCTGAGGGGGTGGCGGCGGCGGCGGTGGCAGAGGCAACGATACCGGAAGTTCTTGGAGGTTGATCTGCGGTGTTACCGAGACGTTGGGCGTACCAGGGGAGCCGATGGATCGAGGAGTCGAGCTGCTGGGTAGCATGCTGTGAATGTCAGGCATGATCACGCCCGCCCCGCTGCTGCTACCATCTTGATCGTCCGCCAAATTGCCGCTAACGATCCGATCGGGGCTGCTGTTAGGCGGCGATCTCTCGCCGGATATTCGACGTCGTTTCTTCCTATGCATCGCCGCGTTCGCTGCATTCGCCGCCTCCTCCAAACTCGATCTCGACGTAAGCTCGTGCTCGCTGTTCACGTCCGCTAAACCGCGGATCTTCAGGCTCTCCGCGACCTTTAGTAAAGGGCCGATCTGCTCCTGCGACACGTTTATCTCGCCTTTGTACATGAACTCGACCGCGGCCTTCAACTCCGGCCACTTGATATCCTTCATGATCACGATCGGATGCTGGCAAGGATTGTCGAAAAATAATGCTTGAAAGTACGGACTGCAGGCGGACAGTACCATCTTGTGTGCCTTCACGCTGTGTCCGTCGCAAGCAAGGGTCACGTCGACGAAACTTTCGCTCTGCAACAACTGATCGAACACATTGGTCAGATTCGTTTGGTAATTGTTCCACCTCAGGCAAAATTGCTGGGGCGACCCAGCGCCGCTTTGTTGCGTCATGGTTTCGTCGGATTTTTCCTTTCTATCGTCTCGTCTATCGTTTTCGTAGATGTCTTCTTCCTTTCGATTCTCCTCTTCCTCTTCCTCTTCCTCTTCCTCGTCTTCTTCCTCCTCCTCCTCCTCCTCCTCCTCCCCCACCTCCTCCTCCTCCTCCTCCCCCGCCTCCTCTTCTTCCTCCTCCTCCTCCCCTCCTTCCTTCGCTGCCTCCTCTTCTGCTTCCGCTTCCGCTTCCGCTTCTTCTTTCACCTCGTATTCGTACTTGCGTTTCCGTTCCTCCAGTTTTCTCGTTTTCTTAACCTTTCTTTCGTTCGCCACAACCTCCTCCTCCTCCGCCACCGCCTCCTCCACCACCACCTCCTCCTCCTCCTCCTCTTCCTCCCCCTCCTCCCCCTCCGCCTGCTCGCTTTTGGCGCGCTCCTTCACGCCTTCCTCGTCCGTTGCCGTTCTTTGCTCCGTTTTTCGATCGACCAAATCTTCTCGCGAATGCGTCGACCAGCCGAGCACTCGCTTTACCGATCGGTCGCGAACCAATCAACGGCCAGACCGCATCTGGAACACACACGTACACAGCGACGCGCGAACCTCGAAACACGCAGCACCAACGACGCGTTTCTCCACGCGCCTCCTCTTCCTCCTCCACCACCACCACCTTCTGCTTCTCCTCGTGGCAACGCGCGTCGATTCGTTAAACCTGCGCCCCCTCGACGATACTTTTTTACCCCGACAACCTTGATCAAATGATGCTCCGTAGCATCCTTTTACCCCTTTTCCTTTTGTCTCTTCTTCTCGATTCGCGTGACCTCGACCTCGTGCTACGCAATCTGGTTAACGACGATTCCTCTCTTTAACGGGTTCGTCGATCGCGTCTTTTGGTACGCCACATCTTCGAAACGAATACTCCGATCGGGCGGACCGGAACGATCGGAGGGTAGCGCGCCACTTTCGAAAATGGAGCGAAACGAACGAACGGGATTTCCCGCGCGCGCGCCACCACCGAAACCCGATTCTTATAATTAGCCCCGTTCAAACGTCTCGTCTTCTTTCCCTCCCTTTCGTGTTTCTCACAATCAGTCCTCGTTTCGCTCTTCTAACCGAGCGTCGTAGTTCTCAACTGCAGCAGCCACCGATCGTAATATCGGAGATCACCATCGGAAACACCAAACACCAGAGCACCAATCAACACCAGCACCGGCAGGAGCAATAGCGCGAGCATACGAACGCGTGTTTCTCGATCAGTGTGTAGAGATCCGTGTGGGTACGGGGAGGGAACGCGCGTGTTCGACAGACCGATGGGACAACGATGACGGGGACGACGAGCAGCACACGATCTGCACCCGGTGACGAGCGCGTCGCAACTGAGAGGCTTGCCGCGGCGACGGTTCGTTGGAGCGCGAGCGGCAACCGAGAGGTCCGTGAGGCGGTCGAGCGCCGATACCGTGTGTTTGCCGCGGTCCGCGGTGCTAGCGCCGACTCGACGGCCGAAACGAACGACGAACGACGAACGACGAACGACGAGAGACGAGAGACGAGAAACGAGAGACGCGAAGCGTGCGGTGTCCGCGGGGAGACTGACGCGTGGGTGCGACGAAGAGAGATAACGGCCAAGGCGGCTCGCTCGAGCGACAGAGACGACTGGCGGCGAAACAAAGAACCGGCGAGTCCGCGAGTGGAAAGAGGGACGGAGAAGGTGAACGGATGGGTGCGAGGAAGAGAACGAAGGAGGGTGGAAGAGAGAAAAACGATCGCGAAGAGAACGGGTGCGGGTGGAGGAACCAACGTAGCCTCGCGCTTCCTCGCGTTCCCCTCGCACCGCCGTCGCATCGGCCAATCGGGAGGCTCACCTTCCGATCGGACGCGCCGACAGGCACCGCCCCCGGAGACCGCCTCATACCGCCTCTCCTTCTTTCTCCCTCGACCGATCGGCTTCTCGCTTCTCGCTTCTCTCCCCGAGAAGAAGAGAATTTCTCTCGGCGGCAGATCGGAGAGCAGGCCCACCACCGATCGGCCTCCCGAAACTCCGATCCACCGATCACCACGAGAGGAGGTCACCGCATCTCGTTGTTGCTGCTGCTTTCTGCCGTTGGTGCTCGTGCTACTGCCGCTGCTGTTGCTGCTGCTGCTGATGATGATGGTGGTAGTGGTGGTGCTGGTGGTGGTGGTTGGTGGTGATGGAGGTGGTGGTGATCGTTCCTCGCGTTCGCGTTCCTTTCGCGCCGTCTCCTCTCTTACCTTGCTCCGTTTTCTCTTCTACCCATTTTCTTCTTTCCTTCCTTCCTTCCTTCTTTCCTTCCTTCCTGCTTTCGTTCTTTCTTCTCTTTTCTTCTAAGCGAATCTATTTCGTCTTTTTTCGCGGTGCGGTTCCTTGCCGCATCAACGTCGATAAGAGTATTCGGTACCGATGCCTAACTTTCGCGGTGCAATGACGATATTGACTACCGATAACTATGTACGTTCGTTCCGATTCAGACGTTTCAAGTCGAGAAATTATCCGGAAATCATGAAATTCCCGAACGACGCTGTTTTTCGTGATGCGTTTTCCGAGACTTAAACGAGTGGATGGCGAAACATGGGGATGTTCGAAACGAAACTGGCCGATTCTACCGGTTTTCCTGCAACATCTAGGATTCGACGAATAATAGCTGTCATACACGTTCAAATGACTGCGTTTCGTCGAGAGAAATCAGTCGATCGCGTTGGTACAATTAGGTCGGTCGTCGACCAGCTGTTATTAGGTGCGATCGAGAAATTCGTCCATTCGATTTCGGTTCGATTTCGCTCGTTCGATCGTCCGTTCGTTCGGGATTCTTTGAAACTAGTGAGTTCAACGAAGTAACAGCGGTAACTCTGTCGGTCGGGTGGTTTAGCAGATCGAGGCCAAAGTCGCGTATCGCGCGGAAAGTTTGAAAAAAATCGAAGAGCAACGTCCGTCTCCGTAAGGGTTGGCGAGCAACCGGCCGGCGTAATTGGATCACGAGGGAGGAAACGATTATTTAACGACAACGAGCGCCGCCTCGCAGGATGCCGCCGTTTTCTCGAGACAAGCAAGAATATTACCTAACGGTCGTATTTAGGTAGTCGTGCTTCCCGATAACGGAGTTACTGTTCCGCCGGTAGAAAGGAGAGATGGCCGTCCTAATGAAATTAAGGGCACAAAGAGACGGTTCGCGTCTGTCCCTCCGACTCCAGCAGACACTCCTAAATGGCTATTAACGCGAATTTTCGAACTAGCGAGTTTCAACCCCCCTGCTGATTTTCCTTCCTCGCGCGAATCGCTCGATCGCTTCCAATCTCTTCCTTCGCAATCGCCATAACGCGCCAACGCCAAGGATCTTTACTTCTTCCTCGCAGAATCGATTCCTACGATTTTGACGAGCAAGCTCCACGAAAAAGACTAGAGGGCCTACGAATCGGTTTCTAAAAGACCGGATAGATACTTGATTGCTCGATAAAGTTCGCGAAAAAAAAACGTTTTCGAGAATGCAACAATTTTTTTATAGATAGAAAAGACGAAAAGGAAAAAAAAGAAATCGGCGGGAAGGAAAGGCGGGGCCAGGTTTAGGGTAATATCCGTTAAGCCGTGGATCGTGGCAAGCCGGTAACGCAAGGGTGGCAGTAGCCATAACGCTCGTATTTCTCATATCGTTGATACTTTCAGCCGTGTAGGTTGCGAGCTGGCGTATTGTAAGGGTGCGCTTGCGAGGCCAGCTCGAGCTCCGCTTCGCCAAGGGGGTAAGGCCATAAATTTTACTACGTAATATTGTTTAACTGCAAACAGTATACTAACGCCCCGCGCGTTCTGGCGAAATGGAAAAATTTCGAACGTCGCTGTTCGCCAGTCAAGAGGCCTCGAACAAGTTCGACTTTGATTCGTTCGTAATGAGAAAACAAAGAAGGAAGGGTGGTCCATTGCAATTAATTCGCTTTCGACGTATCTCCATTGAAAGCTCGACGCGATTCGGTGTTTCGAAAGGAAGTCGCGATTCGGCCGACAGTACTTTCCCGACGACGACGACACGCGCTCTCGGCGGCTGGTTATGAAAAAATACGAGATGAGAAAAGCGGACGGAAACGGTCGAGCCAGGCCGTACCGTGCAACGAAATAAAACCGTAAAGCATCGGTGTTGGAATTTCCACGTTTTTATTCCACGCTACGGCTGTCGCGTCGGCTGAAATCCTTTACACGATTCCCCTGAAAACGCTTCGACTTCTATCGTCTTTATCAGCGAAAAGGCAATTTTTCTCCTTCGAAGATCGATTCTTCTTCGAGCAGATGAAAATTTTCAAAGAAAGATAGCTGTCGAAGGAAGAGCGTTGCAATGCGACGCGTGCACTCGCTTGCTCAGAAATTAGTCATTTTCAGAGTAATCGTTACCTGGTCGGACTCTGGCCGTTCCTCCCGGAATTACAGGGACGGCAAAGCAACCTTGTACGTATTGTACAAGAACAATGAGCAAAGAGAAATATTGATGATGCTCCTGCAGTGTGGCTAAGCGCGCTACCGAGTGAGAGAAGGAACATCAGTGCGTGGTATACGCGAATACGAGTAGGAGCGTGTACGCGCGTGCAACGCGAAAGGACTGTGCGTATACACGGTGTGCCGCACCGCGCCGTAGCCGAGAGAGCAAGAAAGAGAAGCGGAACGCGAGAAGGTACCAAAGCGAGAGAAAGAGGGAGGAATAGAAGAAAGGAAGATGGAAACACGAGGGGGTATAACGAAGAGAAAGAGGGGTGGCTGGCAGAGGGGACGGCAGCTTGTAGGAAGAACGAGCAAGGGGAAAATGATAGAACGAGAAGAAGGGTGAATAAGGGGGTGAAGGGAGAAAGAGAGAGAGAGTTATGTGCTTAATATTTCAGCATCGCGAAATTCTGCCCCTGAATCATTAATCGCCTACCCCTGCGGTGCCTAGCCGAGCTTCGCCCCTTCCTCCTCCTCTCCACCTCCTCACCCACCGCTACCTTCGCCTATTTCTCTCGCTCTCTCTCTTTCTCTCTCTCTCTCGCCCTTTACCTTCGTCACCCCTTATACCCTTCTACCCCTTACACTCTATCCGCGTTCGCGCCTCCCGCACTCTTTCTCTCTTTCTCTCCCAGCTTTTGCTTTCGTTACTTTCGTTCTTCGACTAGGAAAGCTAGCCCAGGATTGAATATTTCGAATCCCTCGCCGAGATACGAATATTAGACTCGTCGACCGAGCCGTAACGAACATTCCCGATCAACTGCTGTCACCCGATTTTACGATTAACAATGTCCGTAACAAACGCGTTCTCAAATCTGAAACTCATCTTATCTGCGCGTTTTACCGATATTCGGGGAAAGGGACGAGAAAAACACTAAGTTAGCAA